GATCAAGTGTTGGTTTGTAGGGATTTGATGGTTTATTTCAAGCTCGATCACGAGCTGACATCATTTGGAGAACCGTTGGAAAACCAGGGAGTATAATGGACAGTTGTGTTAGTCTCAGGTTGAAACTCTTCAACTTTACCGTACACCCAGAAGGATTCGAACCCAGGGTCTTCCGGTTACAAGGCGATCTTGTAGACCATCATACTTAATGGCTGGCGGCTGCGCTATACATCGCGAATTGACAGAAGTTGGAATTCACATTTCATTAGGTCGAGTCCCAATGGCTGAATGGTCTCGCCTGGTAACCGGAAGGTCGTGCGTGGGTTCGAGTCCCGTCGGATGCTTACTGATGAGGAGCACCAAACTAGCATGAAATGACTTCCCGGTCTTCAATCACTATAACTGATGTCAGTCCGTCACGAAACGTGTAACTAATTCTATAAATGAATCGATCTTGACTCATCGCTCAAATTATCCCAGGAAATTCGTAAAATCTATTGACCTGGATATTTATTACACCCATACTTTATTCTCATCGAACTTTTGGTGATATCATGTATTTCTCCCCTTGGAAATATATTCAAAGCAAGAAAGATTTGAGTGCAATCTTGATTATTTCCATTGGCTTCTTGTTCAGGCTCTACAGTTAGTTATCGATTCTTAAATATTATCATACAATAATATTTGTTTGATTCCACATTTTATACATAGCATAGATTACTGGAGAATGTTTTTGGGGACGATTCATTGATTTATACGGTTAAGTAAGGGTTTCTGTGTGACTGTCTTGCAACATAGTGCTTAATCACATTTATGTACTCCGTAATCAAACATTTATTGTTGTAACACAGCTATGATTTTCTCAAGAGTTAGTTTGCAGGGATTCGATTTATTTCAACTTTAACCAGGGATTGATATCAGTTAGGGAACCATTGGAAATCAGTAAGAAGTACTGGACAGCTGTTTTAATTTTTTTAAATTTTTTGATTACAGCTTGATTCCACACCGTATTTTTCTAGTACAAGTGTGGAATTTTCAACGTGGATATCGGTAGCCCGAAATTCGCAGGCCGACCTTAGATATCAGGTGTGCGTCGGCGTGGGCTCGAACCCTGGACCACGTGCATGGTCGGCGAGAATCCTAACCAGTGTGCCACCGACGCACAGTCCTATTTTGGGTCCCATCATCAGTATGCATCCACCGGGGTTTGAAGAACCCAGGACCTTCCGATTACTAGACCGACTCGTACATCATTCAGCTCCTGAAGCCCGACTCATTGCCTAACCCATGAATTCAAACTTTTACCAATTCTCGTGACTTTAACACAACCACCCGCCAGTGTTATCGGCGGGTATTTAACCTCACACCTGACCGGATGGACCCTACTAGTGGTCATGACAACCTCACCTTGTAGTCAGTGACTTATTTTGAAATGTCGGTTTGCAAGGGGTTTAATTAGTCTCAAGTTAGATCACGATGACGACTATGCTGTTCTAATTAATTTCACAAATAAGGGAAATAAGTCTTTGCTTAATAATCTCATGCTATATTTGTTGGTGGGGATGTGATTCATTTGAAGCTGAATTTTATTGGTAATCTACATTCGTTAGCTGAGAATAGTCAGTGACCTCAGCTTGTGTAGCCTGAAGGTTGTTACGTGTTCGATCTTCGTCTGGGTCATAGATGTTTAGCGCTAAAGAGTCGCGAAATATTAGGAAATGTTTGTTCAATACTCTCAGGAGGTGTTCAGTGAATTCTCTAACTGCTGTCAGCTTGTGGCCATATTTGGAATCAATCAAATCCCTGCTAATCAATACCTGATTTGAATATATAGATGTTTTTGTTGTGGAAATGTGGTTTTTAAGCAGTCAACTTTCTTCAGCCAATGCTTTTGAATGGTTCTCAAATGACTGATATCGATCCGTGATGAAACTTGATACAAGTATGATAATCACATTCGTGAACTGTCTTCACACGTAAACATCAGGACATATTTGAAAAATAGACAACCAAGGGAATGAGAGCGCCAATCACGCTCCAAAGAGAATTTCAGATAGTTTACTCAACTCTTTTTAGCTAAGCCTTAAGCCAGATTGTCTTTCTTTCAACACTTATGATGTGAACAGTGTTAATAGCTTAGTTTCATTGCTCCCCTAGCTTAGATTGTGTGCGTTGCAATGTCATTGGTACGCTTGTACCTGTCGGGTGTTCTATTCTTTAACTTCTCTAACGTCAGTAGTTATCATACCTGTTAGATTTATCTTTTGGTTAAGATATGCATTCATGTACCAAACGGCTTCACTTCCATGCTAATATTCACGGTCCAGTGATAGGGAAAGTCACATTATTATAGGGAAAATCGCAGTGACCCTGAGCAACCAATCAAAACTCAGATACATAAAAGTAGCATAATCCTAAAAAAGCGTATTAATAAACATTGCGAACATGATATTAAACTGGATAATTGTGTCTCTAATATGTCTTGTAGAAATGCATACCCGTCACTTCAATTTATATCTTATAGAAAAATCATACCATGTGCGACAGATGTATTCATGCAGGTGACTGTAGGTCATGGTATTTTGATACCCACTGACACTGTTCTTCAAACTACCTCCAATCTTAAACTTAATCCTAGTCCCCTAAAGACCCTAACCTGTCTGGCAGCATAGATGTACAGAAAAAATGGCCTAGGGAATGACTAGAATACTGCACACCTACGCTCACCAAATACGAAAGGATAGGCATGATCTGATTTGGAATGATCTTTCATAATGTTGCCTGAATCTGATGGGTTCTCGAAGGCCAACCTCTGACCTTGACATTACCTATGGCAGTTTAACTTCATTCATTGTAACTACTAAGATTTTGTTATCCCCAGTACTCACATATGATTCGATTGGGCTCTCAGTTAGTTAAAACCTCGGAAACACTTTTGCTACAATATATACGTATAATATCATGAAGGCATTTGAGAAAAGAAAGTTTCAACGATAATCTATATTACTTCTGCAATAAGTAAAAAAATAACTAACTTGATATTTTGTTCTCATTCCAACAACATAAATATATGTATCAAAAACCCATGGTTGATTGCCACTCCAAGTTGCTGTGTACTTCTCAGTGGATTTCTATCGTAGCAATACTGTTTGTTGTCTGTTTCACATACCTTTAAACGTTGAGGTTACATGACATATATATATATATATATAAACTTAGTTCATCATTATTATTTGTCTTTTTAGACTGTCCACCCACGTTGAATTCTACCCTTTTTTTCTGACCAATGAAAATAGAAATTTAGTCTAGTTTTTTTGGTTGATTCACGCCTTCTAGGTCATACACATGATGATAGATTATCGATCGATCGCTGGTTTTTTTTCGTTGTTCTTGTTGTTGTATAAACTCTCTAGCCTTATTAGATATACTAAGCTGTGAATGTGAAAATAAAATTTTAGCCTATCATATCGTCTCTTATAACGTAAAAATATGCTGCATTTGGTTATTTTTGGGGTCATACGTTATGATTGGCTTATTGATTATTAACAGGCCATATTATAGTGTATATTATTCATTACAGACATTGTATAAAAATGTCTATCCTGTGTGATAAGTTATTCAAGCGTTTCTCAGCACTTATGCCTAGTGTAGATTTAATCCTGTGCAAAAGTATGGAAACAGTGTCTATAGTGTTGCGTCTTGGATGTCAAGAACAAGAGTATGGAAATATTAGGTATAGAAAGTCTGTTCTGCTTACGTGGCATATTGAGTTAATCGTTTCTTACTATATAATAATAAAGGATACTACTTTACCAAACTCCTTTATAATCGTTATTCTATTGATTAATTTTCCAATGGGTGAGTGTAATTATTAAATAAAATGGTGTTTTTACGGCTTTGATACTTGTAAGGCATTTAATATATGGCTATTTATACTCCAGTGGTTTAAGAAATTAGCTTTTCGATATTGATTTGTTAGTCAATAAGCCTTGGTAATTACATAACACAAAGGAGTTATTTTTTGTATACAATTCTTGAATAAACATGACGAGTTTTCCAGTGGTTTCTAGAAACTTACTAGTGTCTTTTATTAGAGAAGTATAGGCAGGAAATTGACAATCATAAAACAGGAATGTCCTTTTTTTGTTATAGCACATCGCCTTGACAAATACTTAACGTGTGTTTGAGAGTCGACCTTATTTATTTAGAATTGTGTAACAGATTTGAACGAACACTTGTTCGTTTCCTACACTCCGTACATCTAAATATATATCATCCACCAATGACCTGGGAATACGGTTGCAGGTTCATTGAAGCACTATACCTACATATACGAGAACGTCCTATCAATCAATTATCCATACAGTATATAGAAACGTGATCTGGGTGAAATTTGCATCTGAGCAGATGAACACCGTTCATTTTCGCGCTAGAATACTCGTAAGTTTCCTCATCCAACGGCGACTAACAAGCGTTTAAGGTTATTTGAGTGTTCGCACTCCTGGGACGCTATTGTTGAATTTCGTCGGTTTGAATTTGTCGCTTTTTTATGTTGTGTTAAAGTTAAACTTTAGTAGTCACCCCGATCGACTTTACCACTGACTGCGAACAACTATGCAGAATTAAAGGTCTATAAATGCTTAAAAACTGTTAAGGGCATAAATGTAGATCATGGTGTTCTAAGTTTTGTTTATATATCTGATTGTGTTGTTTAATCTGCTCCATTATCCCGATCCTCCCAAGAGATCAGTTAACCTATCAAGCCTCCTCTGCCTATACTTTACTAACTCCAATCTCATACAGTAATCAAACATTTAACCTTCCCAGAACTTGTTAAACAAATCCAGAACAGGGTGCATAATTCAGTTTGATTATACCACTTGTAACTCTAGTTGACTGTCGATAGGCGTATATCAGGGTAGCTGCTATAGTTTAACTTGAATTGTGTGTACATTTCTCTACCGATAGAATATATCTTTTTCTTCCCTACCCCCTTTCAGAGACTAAAAGTTGAAATTCCTGTCAGTACATATGGAAATACACTCATCAACATTGGTACCAATGGGGTTAGTAGCCATGGTAGTGTTGATACCACCGGTGTTTTGAATACATCCTCTTCCACTTCCTCCTCCTCATCCTCTTCGTTATTTATTCCCAATACAAATCCGAGTAATCTAATTTCAACATCATGTTACACTTCAAACAATATCAGCGATCTATCATTTTCTTCATCAATCCCAATTCTACCATCTAATTCTTTTATCACTGTGATTGCATCTAACAACAGCAACAATAATAATTGTTCGAATCTCCTACCTGGTGGTGGAACAACTATTCTACCAACTCATTTTTCTACAGCTTCAAGTATACCCATTGATTCATCTCTTATGACAGGCATCTCATCACCATTTCTATCATTTCCATTATCTCAAGGTTTAGCAATACCAACCATATTTTCTAGTACACCAAATCTATCAAATGATTTTACAATTACTCCTACTAATACTAATACTACTACGACTAATGTTACTGCTCCACAATTAATTCCACCTATAAAATCGAATGGTCTATCCACGCCTGATTCATTCATCATATCAGATGTAGATTCATGTGGAACAATAGATAATAAACAAGACGAGAGAGATAATCCTGTCAGTTGTTGTTGTTGCTGTAATGGTTTGGCAACATGTGAAGAACCTTTTCTCACCTGTAAGGATTGTGGCCTTCACGGTGAGTCATATTCCCATTTAACCTTGAAGTGTTGTGTTTCTGTGTGTATATGTCTGTCCCTATCTATATATCTGTCTGTCTATCTAGGCATTTATCGTTTAATTAATGAATTAATTGTAATATTTATGTGTTGTTTAAATCTAGTCTCATTGACTAGACTGCCCACACTACTAACGATCGATAAATTCAAATTAAACCTTAATTCGACCAATAAAGTTAATTAATTTGGCGATTAGACTTAATTAATACACATATACATAGATATATAGATAGACAGCATTAGTGTAGTTTGAAAATTAATGGAATGTGCAGATTAAAGCATGTCAGATTTGAATTCTGAAATTGTCTTTCCATCGGCAACACATTCCAGTGATGATGATGAACATCTTGTGAATTTTACAACTAATGTTAACAACAAAATGCCTCACAGTATCACATCAACAGGATCAATTGAAAATATTGAGGCGAGAGGATATTTTTCAACAACACCATTTCTACCAGATTTGACGAATTCAGATCATGAGTCACCACAATTCTCTAATTATGAATTTTTCGGAAAAGAAAAGGCACAAATATTGGATACAAGAAGTTTAACACCATTGCCAAATTTTACTAACAAATTTGGTTATCCACGTTTTCAAATGGATTATATACATCCTTATATGGCTGGAAATCAGATACACGCGGGTAGTTCAAATCGTGATCTTCATCAAAACGCTAAAAGGTCTTGTTTAATGCCGAGTGGAGTAGTTGGTGGTCAGTTTCCACTGAGGCATTCAACACCGTTGTCAATTTTGAATTCATCCATAAAAGAACGTATATCATCTTCATCTATTTCTGCCAACCTTTTGAAAATCCCTTCAAGTACACCAGAAAGATTAACAAACTTTCCTGATTGTATATATAGAAACAACAACGTGTTTAACATTCCATTTACTCCTAGTGGCGGTGTGCCGAAACTGGATAAGATTTCGCTACCAACTGAAAGTATTGTTTCTACTCATCCCAGTACTTCTGGTACAAATATGCTAAAGTCTAACAGTACCTTCTCATCTCCTTCGGTATGTTGTTACAATAATGATAACCAAGGGATTACAACTACCTGTACGGACATTAGTAAGTCAGAAAATCAAGATCCTACTTCTGTCCGTCTGTCGTCAAACCAGTCCATAAAAGATGCCACTACCAACAACCAAGTTTCGGAAGAAGGACGTAGTAAAAGCAGTAGTAACAATAATAATAGTAATAATCCGAAACCTGCTATTTTCAAACATGAACCTCGAAAGCGCAAGGCACAATCTAACTGTAGTGCTGCACCGTCGACGTCTACAAGAAATAAAAATGAAGAAAGCAATGCTTCATCCGTTCAACCAAATGTTACCAGCTCCAGTACTGTTTCAGAATGTGATACTGTCAGTAACAAGACACCGGACTATGTAAATCAAACCGCTTCTGCATGCATATCGACTACACCTCCGACAAGTGTAGACTCTCCAACAGCGACAGTCAATGCCTGTGAACAAATGTCTTACCCACCTGATCACAACTTGATCACTCATGCAGCTGCCTCTCTTTTAAACCGATCGAAACCATTAAGTCGTACTCCCCTCCCTTCCTTAAATCAATCCTCCCGAAGACCAGTTACTATAACACGTAGACCAATATTACCAAATCCTTTAAGAAAGTATCCTAACACATTACTATTGAATACTAGATTAGGCCTTAAATCTGTTTGTAATACACCTGCTACTATAGAATCAGTTCATCTAAAGAAATCGGATACTAGATCTGTGTTTGGCAGTAGTAGTGGTAGTAGTAGATCAGTTACACCATATTCACGTCGAGGTACTACTACTGGTGCTGCTTCTTGTGGATCGAAGTCGTTGAATGAAATGAAGAAAGCACAACAACAACACCTAGTCAAGGCGAATCCGTCAGTGATGCTTCAACCAGCTATTGTTGTTTCCAAATTGACAAATCCTACTGGTATTACGACAACATGTATCACCTCGAATATAAATAATGGTAATAGTAATCAAATGTCATCGTCTTCTGTAGTACAAGTTCTACCTAAAAATCCTATTTCATTATTTATTCCAGCAAATGCAAAAATTTTAAATACAACTTTTTATTCATCTCCTGAAGAAGATTTTCTTTGGAAATCAAATTTTTTTGGTAAACAAAATCCACAACAATTAATTTACACGTTAGTCTATCTATTTGCTAAATTGTTATATTTACGTCATAGCCATCAGTTGCATCAACTACGTTATGGATTAAATAGTCAACTGAAATTAATTCGTTTTAAGCCTACCAACAACAACAACACCAACAATGGCATGCAAGTGATTGATCCTGAAGATGACCATCAAATTCATTGGATGAATGGCAGGCTGAAACAATCGAAAGATGAAAATTGGAATTCTTGCCTACTCTATAAACCAGATATTCATTATGCGTTAATAAAATCACCGATGTCTTTGTCACAGCCATTATCGTCGTCTTCATCATTGTTACAGGCAACGTTTGTGTCTGATCAAAAAATCCAATCATACTTCAATTATTTAGATGAGAATTCTCCATTGGATTGTAGAGTAGAACAGAATACGAGGCTATACAATATGACAAGTTGTTCAAGTAATGATAATAATAATAATAACAGTAGTATATCATCATTAGAACAGTCTAGTGTTGTTAAACCGTTAGTGACTAATTCTTCAAATGATTATATATTAGGTCATAATACAATGAATAATCATGAGCGTTGTGTTGTATGCTATCATGAATTCTATATGTCAAGGAGACCAAAGTAAGTTAGAGTTAGTCAGTTATATATATATGAGAATGTTTGAATTGATTCATTTTGAGTTATTTTCCTTAGTTAATTAGTTAGCTAACTAATCAGTATATTGTAGAGCTGTTGTTCATCAGTTTAGGGTATATTTTAATTTATTCATCCTTTTTTGTCGTTAGAACGACTGTGAGGCGTGTCTATAAGAGGATATGATGAGTTTATCTGTCTTTGTTGGCAGGGTACAGTCAGGTCTACTTGGAGGATGCCGATATAATCGTGCTTCTGGCTGAAGACGCTAACAAAATGCAGAGTGTTCTAAACACTGAGCGGATTTCTAGTATGATTGCTACGCAACTGATATTATATTGTTGTTCCCTTGGGTTCCGAGTGGAACATATAGCTTTAACAGAACATCTCCACTTTGTCCTATTTTTTGTGATCCTCTTTAAGCGGTCGTCCTACGATTGCCAATAGTGTCTTATCTCCTCCTCACATGATCTTCTTTATATCACCCTCGGGACAAAGCGCAACTCGTCATTTCCCATTCAGGTTCCATTAGAGAGGTGGTCTGGCGCTCGTTGTCATTCGACTGTCAATCTACTGAGAGTGTGTGTGGTCCATCTCCATTATCTTCGGCATACTTGCTGAACAAGTGCAAAACGATGCTGCGGGACTGGTCTACATTGGTTTGTAATTTAAGGATAGAGAGTGAAGTGGTAGATTGTGTTTGTCACTTCACTTGTTTAGGAAGTTGCATCAGCCCCTAATGATGAATTGATTGTTGACGATGTCTTACCACGGATACAAATTACGTCATTTCTAGTGTAGACGTGATATCCGGTTATCAACCAGAAGCCAGATATACCAGTTCGCTCTGTTCTTCCTAATGACAGTGAGACACAAGCATTAGAATCGGAAGACTTTTGTTAATAGGTATAGTGTAATAAGTTATATTGAAGTTAGGCGAGGAGGAGGGTGTCAACGGTTAAATTTGTGAAACTACATAGATTGAGATGACTACGGCACGTACTGAGACCATGTCGAACCACCGTCTTCTTCGACGGGCAGTGTTAAGTGATACACGATTGAGTTGATATATGTGTTAGGAGTAGTGAGGTCAAAACATGGTATCAATTCTTGAAGTTTATTGATTTGAGTCACGTAAGAAGGCATGAATCGCCTGACTAGAGTTATTGGGATTTTTTTCTTTTTATTTCCTTCACGTTCCCCAGTGGAACATAGGGCTTCAAGCTGGAGGCTTGAAGTTTCTGTAGCAGTGTTTATTTTTACAGGATGGGATTGCTAGCCCAACCTTTCCTCCTTACCAATCTTATTACTGGGCAAGTAAGGTGAAGGAATGCGTCAGTAGGCCTGGGGTCGAACCCCGGACCATGTGCATGGTTGGCGAGCATGCTAACCGCTATGCCACCGACGGACTAGTCATTGGGATGCCAAGAATCAATATCTTGAGACTATTGGTGAGTTGTCTTCAAAGTTGGTCTCGATGACGCTGTTACAGTCAGTTTTTGTAAATTATACTTTTCTCTGCCTTTGTATATGACTTTATGAACTATGCCAATTTAAAACTACCGTACATTTTTTTGTGTAATGCTCTGTTGACACTTCGACTGAGATCAGTACAATTCATACAGGAGGATAAACATACTTCATATTCTACTGTACGTGTGCGTGTATTTTAGATATTAGTTTACATGAATGTTGTTGTCATTATTACTACAACAGCAACAACTGTATTGATAAGATGTTATCAATAGTTCTCTTCTGTCCTTTTTTCCTCTGTCAATCATTTAAAACAATGTATACTGCCTATATCTGTGCCTTTTTTCCCCTGTAATAAATGCACATGTCTGCCAACATTACATAAACATAAAAAATAGTACACAATATGAATCACATGGAAATCATTATTTTGTAATATGGCAAACAAATTCTACATTAAAGCATTCCTCTTCGTCTGCTGCTGCCTCTTCATCTTCTACGCCATGGTTTAATTGTCGTCCAATTGTTCCAAGTCAATTATCGAATATTTTACGTAAAATTGAATCTACTTTAGCATATACAGCTGTTCTATTACAACAACAACAACATCAACACCAACAAAAACAACCACCACAAAAACGAGCCAATTCATCAACATCTACACGTACATTAATGAAATTAAGTACAAAGTTGAATTCTAATGAATCAAATTATTATCATCAATTAAAATTAAATAAAAAGCAAACAATAAATTATTCACCTATTAATAATGATTCTCCATTAGATTTAGTCATACGTCGTAAATATCAGCATGAGAATAATTCGTATAATCATCCAAGTGATGAAAGTGTAATTAATGCAAGAAGTAGTACAAATACAAATATCTCTGTTAATGAAATTAATAATGACAGGAATGAATTAATGTCGCTGAGCTTTAATCATGATAATGATGATGAAGATAGTAATGAAAATCAACAGTCCTATTTTTCGATTAAAACACGTATGCATTCAAGTTGATGTTTTTTGTTGTTGTGGTTATTGTTGGGTTTTTTGAGTTTCCGCCATACCCCCTCCCTCCCCGCTTCCTCCTGTATGTTTCGCCTTCTCATTTTTGGTTTTGTTTGATTACTTTTTTTAGAGGTTAGAAATTACACTTTTCATCATTTAATCTTTTATTACCCATTTCTTTTCACTCCTCTTTTACAGCTCATCCAACTTGTTTAGATTATTGGCCGGAATTAACAGAACGAGCTCGTCAATCACCATGGCAATGTGCAGATTGTAAAACATGTACAGTTTGTAATAATAATGATAAGTATAATGTAAGTATTGACGATTTTATTTTCGAGTTTTTTTCCACTAAGTTACATGTTTTGTAAAAATTTTATGTACTATGTTCTTTCTTTCCATTCTTTTGTGTTGTTCCGTGTGGAATATAGGAGTATAAGGTTTTTACAGTCTGATTAACTAACTGACTGGTTTCAACGTAGAACTTTGCACGGATATGCAGCAGTTCCAGTTGTCACACTCCATATAGCACACAAAGCAAGAGAAGAGAGATTCAGAGGAGAGAGGGAGATAGCAAACAGAAATATGAGGCAGAAAGAATAGTAATATGGAAGAACAATAGAATTTTATTGGATATGACTGTTAAATCACAAAGAGTGAATAGCATCTACGGCAGTCATTGAGAACGAGGGTCTTGAGCCGTAGCACTAATTGTCTCCAGCCTTCATTGGTTCTTATCATCCCGAGGACCCCAACTAACCGGGAATTCTACACCTCCCTACGTGGTTAGCTTAAACTAACTGTTGTGGATTTCACTCACTGATCAGACTATGTTTTAGCTTAACCACCACTAGCTAACTCTTTTCCAACGTGACCCATCCTATGTCAGCTTGTGACAACAGAAGACAAGTGCCAGGCAACAGATCATATATTTAAGGAATCAACAAGATATTAATAGATTTTCATTTACATTATTATAGATTATAGTAAGCAAACAAAGACAGTCTTCTGATTAGTGGTTTCTCGCTTAACGCTAATCGTTCATTTCTTTGTGGCCGTTCCTTGAAGTTCAGATTATCTATCTGCAAATTGTATCCGCCTTCCCAAAGTCTGCTGTGATTGGTTGTTAAATCAGTCTTTGTTCTTATTTTTCTCATGATCAATATTGGGGATGTAAACATCGACGTAAATTACTGTCTACCAATTTTGGCTAGCAGGCAGCCCTGACCACAATGTAACATTGCCTGATGTCGAGGAAGGCGACAGCTAGGTAGGCATGTGTAATACATGTCGTAACCATCTCAATTGTTGTAGCTTCACAATCTCCTCGATTGATTTCCTTTCCTTACCCGACCGATGCCTCATCTCAATATTGCTCACCTCATTATGCCACTGAACACGGGAGATAGAATGCAGACACCTATGATAAAAGACAACTCACCAGTCTTTTCATGTCTTCCGCCTTCAATGGAGGTGTCTAACTCACAGCCATGAAGGAGGACAGAGAAGACTGCTGAGCAGTAGAGACGTTCTTTAGTCGACTGCTAGCCGGATATCATGTCTACTAAGCCAGAGATGGCGTAATTTGGCATATTCCAAACGAGCCTTCTATATTCGTGTATGAAGTTTCAGTAGTGGTGTGTTGTGGTGGTGTTGCTGCTTTTTCTTTCACTAGATGGTGGTGGTGGGGTTACTAGCCTCACACCCTACTCTTCCCATTTCTCATCTTACTATCGGCTAGTAAACTATGAGGAGGTACAGAAGTGTGTCAATCAATAATCAAACCCCATACCACATACATGTGGTTAGCGAGGATTCTACCATTGATTCACCGACGCACTTATATGCTGTACTGTAGAAATACTTTTTGTTAGGAGATATGGACCGTTTCCATAGATTATGTAGACTGGTTATTGAGTGTGTTATAATCGTACTAATGTTATATATTGTTAGACGGTTGTTGGTATCGTAATCGGCAGGATCTCCTGGACTAATTAGACTCCGTGCCTGTTGGCACTGGTCAGCAAGGCTTATCTGTAAATCTTGGAAGTAACTCATGCCCCTCCTATGATTCAAACCCGGATTACCCTGTGCATTGCAGTCAGGGATGTGACCACTGAGCTTTTCGGGCTGGCGACTGACCGTTTTTTGGCAAGCCACTTGGTGGTAGTATGATGGGTCATATTGCAAACTTGACTGATACAATTCAGTTTACAGAAAACGAAAGTTTAGACGCATGGTATCACAGTTACTACCTAGTGTCTCATCCAAGTATGCTTGATATTATTATTAGACATTAACATAGATCATAAATATGAGTGCAGAACTTGGGTACTAGTAGAATGTAATTCCAGTTATTAAAATTTGAAATAAACTCACCTAATATGAAATTAACATAAATCGTGTATTTCTAATAGCTTGCTAAGTAATATTTCATAGGTTTAGTTATGATACTATTATATATGCTATTTGTTATTGATGGGAAAAGTAGTTGTGAGTAAAATCCTGGTAACAATTTTTACACTTTTCATCATTGTGATCAATACTGCGTTGCTACAATATGTGAAATCCTCTTGCAAACATAATCAAGCGTATTATTGATCAACGATCTTTGGATAAATGAATGCTATTAAGGCATCTCTGAGTGTGTGTGATGAAGGATACTTCAAAAGTATTGATTAGTATATTTTATATACCTAAAGGAAAGAAAGAAAGAAAATAGAGTGAAACAGTTTCACAATCACACAAATACACACTCACTCATTTGTCTACGTTGGATAAAAGTGCAGATGTAATTTTCATGTGATAACTTAGTATGAAATATATTCCCCATGACTATTGAAGGTTGTGATTCACAATGAAATAAGGTATTTATAATCCTCTTGTAAATTATCCTCTATAATCTACATCACGAGTTTCATACATGTGAGGAAGTAGATCACAGACCATTATAATGAATAATACACCTTTACAATTAACTCATTGGAAATTCTAAACTATAAAAGTAAGAGGGGTTACACATTATCGTTATCAACAAATCCTTTCGTGTAAAATACATTTACCCACATACTTTATTAAAATAAACTTACTTTTTTGAATATATTTCTCTTTTTTTCCCATTGAAACTGAACTTCTGAACAATTGTAAAGAAGCCTCTTCTATCATAAAAGGCGGTAGTTGCTAGTTTCAAGGGCATTATTGTGTGTTATGTTATCCCACTGGGATGGATTCTTCTTTCCGTACATACTAGGTTATGATTCAAATTAAGTTTTTTGGTTGATTGATTTTTTGCATATGTTTTAATTTAGCTAAATCAATTTATTTTATATGAGGACAGTATTATGTCTGTAGTAGTTTCACAATGAAGATCAACCAATAGGAGTCAAGATGATGACAAAGTTGTCCTTTAAGACAGTCGAAATCTTCAAGTATTGGTTTTTGTAGGGAATTTTGTTTGATTGGTTGGAGGATTTCATCATGAGCTGTGACATCAGCTAGAGAACCATTGGAAAACATGCAAGGGGTACTGGACAGCCAACTGTTTTGTCACCCTAGTCTGGGACTCTTCATTAGCACGCATCCTCCGCCAGGGTTTGAAACGAGTTCGTAGATCATTAGGCCACTGGAACCCGATCCAGTGACCCATGAATTCTGACTTCTGTCAATTCATAACATAGCGAGATCACTTCGCAATGTCTTCTTCGGTGAGTTACTGCCTCACCTTCAATCTGGTGTAGCCTGCTGGTCACGGCTTCCCACTAGAAATCTGCTAGTAATCATTTTACATCTTTTTTTAAACGATTTGTCGTAATAATAGTAGTTGTAGAGTACTACAGTCTTTGTCATCCCCAATGATTAACAGAAGTTTAATTCTCAATAGGACTGTGACTCAGTTTTAACATAGAACTTTTACGCAGAAATGCTAAAGTTCACATGTTGCCACACTTCATGTAGCACACGAAGGTAGTGAAAAGAGAGAAAGAAAAGGAGGTTCAAAAGCACGATAACGAGCAGAGTGCGTCAGTGGTACAGTGGTAGGAATGCTCGCCAACCACGCTCCAGATGGTTCGCGGTTCGATCTCCAGCACTCCTTTACCTCACTACGACTGGTGCAGAGGGGAGGTTGGGCGTAAGGATAGCAAATCACATCCCTTGAAAATAAACACCAGTGCTACCGGAGCTTCAAGCCTCTAGCTCGAACCCCGATGTTCCATTGGTAACGTAAAGGAATATAATAAAATAATAATACGCATAATTGTACAGAAGAAGAATAGTTACATGGAAAAACATGTGGATCTAAGAGATTTTGAGTCACATGTTGTGCTACCAAGCCGTATCTCAGCTTATTAGTTATTATCTCACCGAGAACATGAGTTTCTTTAAGGCTTCATATTCATTTCACTTTTATATTTTCACACACTTGAAACGGTAATTTGAGTGAGGCTTCTCATTCAATTAACTTCCATCGTCTAGTAGTGGTGTAGTGAGGGCTGTCTGCCAACCAAATTTGTGGACAGCAATTGACGTCAATGTTTCCTCCTAAATCGGGATCAGGAGGAAAACAACAAGAAAAAAGCCTAACAACCTTAAGGGACTCAACAACCAGTCACAGCAAACTTAGCGTGGGTGGATACGATTCGCTGATATATCACCAGACTATCTAAGAAACAGTAACAAAGAGATGACAAAATAACCTTCAACAGGGAAACAACCAATCAGAAGACGTTGCTTCTCTGCTAACAATAACGAATAATAATGTACATAAAAATCTATGAATATCTTCTGTCGTTACAGTGGTAGTCTATAAATATCCCAGTTAAACTGTTCTTTACGAAGAACCTTAGTAAGACAGGAATACTATTTTAATTATATCATTTGTGATTATTAGTTGTATTTTTGTTTTGAAATGTGTTTCTAATATACGCTTTTTTCTTTTTTTTCTGTCTTTCTCACCCTGCCCCATCCCGCTTTTCTCTTTTTTGTTGAATATAGAATGATTTAATTATCTGTGATGCATGCGATAAAGGATTTCATATTGAATGTCATCAACCAAAATTAGAAGAACCAATCGATCGTAGTCTTCCATGGGTTTGTACAAATTGTCAAAATGAAGGTTATCGTGTAGCTATTGGTACATTACCAAATGAAGTAAATAATCAATCTAATATGAAGGCTAGTAATAATAATCATAATAATAATACTAATGATAGTGGTAATGATGATAATAAAATGAATATTTCTGAGGAATATATAAAAAGTCCATTAAAAGAAATTAATTCATCATCTCATGATATATCAATGAAAATTGATTCAAAATTGGAATCTAACGAATCTAAAGCAGAACAAGAACAACGACAACAAGAAGTAGAAGAAGAAGCCGAAGAAAGCCAGTTGAAATCAAGCACCGCTTCATCGTCTTCTCCACTCCCGATGAACACTTCTAATAGTATTTCTAATGAAAATATTCCATTAAAGAATATGAATTCAAATAATCATTCATCACCAGGTGGTGATGGTAATAAGTCTAGTTCTACACCATCTAAACTTGACAATTTAAACATTAACAACAACAATCACAGAAACAATAGCAGCATTAACACTGATAATAATGATGTTTGTCAAGTAGAAAATATTGATGAAAGTATCTCAGAACAACAAATGAATCCTATAAATTCACCAAATAACAAGTAAGTTTATTCACAATTTTATTACTATGCGTTTTCAGATTTTTTACATAAATCTAATCAATCAATCCATCTACTTTATTCTGTATTCTGCATTATGTTGTATATACATCAACAAAGAGATAAATGTTTAATTGAATTTGAGATTTTCCCGTCGATTGATTGGACCGAAGTGCTCAGTCTCAGGTTGACATGTCTGTCGGCTTCTTGTGCAGATACTTTAACGATGTCTGGGCATTCAATTAGAATTTAATTTGTGAATGGTGACTGGCAGTTGAATCCAGAATGCGCATTTTGTCATATTTGGGACTCGTCCACCAGCTGGATGTACCTGCATTTCCCAGTGGGTGATGATGTTCCCACAAATTAAATTCTAATTAAGTGCCCAGACATTTTCGAAGCATTTGCACAAGAAGCCAACATGTCAACCTGAGACCGAGAACTTCGGTCCAACCAATCGACGGGAAAATCTAAAATTCAATTAAATAATTAATATGACACGTTGCACAAGAAAGAGGTGGCTTTCGTGGCCCAAGTGGTCCAGTGGATAACGCTTTGGCGTTTGAAACTATGGGAATTGAGTTGGAGCTTCGGTGGTAGGAACATCACTCACTGGGAAATGCAGGTACATCCAGCCGGTGGACAAGTCCCAAATAGGACGAATTGCTCATCCTGGTGGATTCCCCTGCTAGTCACCATGCACAAATTAAAGGGATAAATGGTAGTATGTAAAGTTGGTTGGTAACACTAGCAATGAAATCCACGGGGTGTTTATTTCATCCCTATTTCAAGCTTCAGTGTGAGAGAGAGTACTATCATTTGACCATGGATTGTAGCCACAGTCGTCTAATGATGACTTACTTACTTACTTTACTTCGGCTATCTCCTACGGGAGGATGAACCGGCTTCATGAACATCTCGAATGTTTGTATGAGACTTGATGAAGTTTCATGGGAATTGGGTACGAGTGATGTCCCCAGCATCGCTCGGCCTTTTGTTTGAGAGTGCAGCTCTAGCCTTTACACAGCCAAGTGTGACCTACAAGGCAGTAGGAGTGGAGTAGGGAGTCCACTATCCATTGGCAGCCGGTGACCGGAGTCCGGTTCATTCGCCTTTTTGAATGGGGCCAGACATCCAGGGCATCCAATAAGCTCTTTGTCCATACGTCTGCCGGTGAACTCCGGTGAGCTTCATACGCCAGTCGTTGGAGGTTTGGAATCAGGGTTTAGCCATCTCCCCTAATGATGAGCTCCAAATGTAGGGTAAAATGTGTTTGTGCATCGTGAATATTCCACTGCTAGTCATCATCTACAAAAATAAAGTCACGCGTTAATCTTCAGATATCGTCGAAGCATTCCTGCTAAGAGTCGACATATGTCAACAGAGACCGAACCATGCGGTCTAACATAAATCAATCAACATGGAATGCAAAATTAATTTTTTTTAAATGAGTGAGCGTTAGTTTGTGGGAATTTAATTTGTCTCAAGTTGTCTGATCGCGGGTTGTTTACCATTAATGAGACCAGTAGGGAGTATTGGACAACCGTTTTGTCCTAATTCAAGACTCCTCATCAGTATGCATCCACTGAGGTTCGAACCCAGAACCTCCCAGTTACAAATCCAGCTCGTGGACCATTCAGACACTGAGACCCGATTCCATGGTCAGCACGCGTGAATTCCAATTTTTACCACTTTGTGATTTAAGCACGATCACCAGTCGATGCCATCGGCGGCGAGTATTTGTCCTCAAATCCCCTGAACCTAGTTGACCCCACTGGTCACAACGTCTCACTAGAGATCTAGGCAACTTCTCACGGTAACTAGTCACTAAAGAGCATCAGATTAATTGAATTGTTTTATAATTAATGCATCATCAGTGGTTTCCTATTGCATCTATTAGTAGACTAATATGGAGTTTTTTTAGAGAATGGTGTTATTTCTGAGAGGGATTTTATAGAAATAAAAGAATATTAAAATCGATAAAATCAATCAAATTCTTCATAACTTTTTATTTCGGTGTGGGCCATTTTAAAATATTGTTCAGATTCAGCGTACACACTCTAGTCAACAGAGGTCTTTAACATGGAAGAAAATTAGGCATATGTGACAAAAAATAGTGCAGTCACCTTGTTCATTGAAATGTTATAACCTCATTATATATACGAGTTATGTTGTCTGAATATAATGTATTTTCTCTGTGCTATGAAGTTTCTTTAGCGATTTGATTGATTTTCGATATATATATATATGTCAATATGCCTTCATTTTCATCTTACATGATCTCCTCTATGTCACCCTCGGATCCATACCCAACCAGTTGTTTACACTATTCGAGCTCTACTCAATGACCTGGTGTCGTGATTTCACTTAATTGTATTCTCATTGAATGTACTTATCACCTGCTTTATTTTCTTCTGCATATTTGTTGTGGTGACAGGTTCTTGATTGGTCTATCCTTATAGTTCGTTGTAGCTTATCTTTTCCGGTCATCTAATTTTCAACATAGAAAGCATCTGTTCATGAAAATCTGCATTAGCCGGTTGGAAATGCTATCGGTGACTCTCTAAGTCTCTTGACCACATAGAAGAAGTGACTTGACACAAGTTCTCAAAATTCGAATCCTGTTTCCTACACCGAGTGCAATAGATTTTAACATTGATTTTAGATTAATTCAGGTCTTTGTTGCCTTTCTGATCTTGTTTCTGACATCCTAATCTGTGTCACCAGCAGGGGGAATGATGCTGTCTAGATAAGTGAAGGAAACGAAGAACCTCTTCCAAATTTCTCACGTTAATAGTGATTGATGCTTGTTGTTGTTGTTGTTGGCGGTTGCGGTGGTTAGTTATCTTCATCACCTACATTTTCTCTATGTTTACTTGAAGCCCTATGTTTGCTGTCAGTCCAGCCTCTTCTGCCAACACTTGTTGGTTTTCGCCTGTAGTCCTTCCAATTTGTGTTACATTAGAAATAAATTATCTATGAAATTCAGATCTTTTAGAGTCTTCTTATCAGTCCAACGTAGTATTGTTGTCTCACTCCCCACGCACAGTAGTAGGAGACAGTCTTGTCTAACTCCTATCTTCACTTCATTGGAAGGCTTCTTCGCCTAGTTTTCTCTTTTGGATTACCTGACATATCCCGTGTAAAGTGGCATAATAAGGTGAGCAACATGGAGGTTAGGCGTCGAGTTCTAGGTAAACAGGAGAAATCAATCGACAAAGTCGTGAAGCTACAAAGACTGAGATGGTTAGGACATGTGTTACGTATGCCAAGCCATCGCCTCCCTCGACGAGCAATGTTAGCGGATATAGGGTCAGGCTGGAAAAAAGCTAGCGGCGGTCAAACAAAAACTTGGCCGAACCAGTCAATGAAATCCACAACAGTTGGTTTAAGCCACGTAGAAAGGTGTAGACTTCCAGGCTGGGGTCCTCGGGACGGTAAAAATCTATGGTTGGAAACAATTGGTGACATGGCTCAAAACCGTTCTCAGTGGCGCAGATGCATCCACTTCCTGTGACTTATGATCTTCAATGAAACTGTTTTGTATTTCTTTATTACTCCTTTGTCTCACACCTGCTCACTGTTTCTATTATGCTTTTCTTGTACTTTCTTCTCTTGCTTCGCGTGCTACACGGAATGTGGCGACTTGAACTGGTGCACATTTGTGCAAAGTTCTATGTCGAAAACAGACAGACAGACAGATTGGCATTGTCATTGTGGCACTTGTGTTGAATTGAATGAGGTTGATAGAGAAAGATATGGGGTGGCTAATCTTTTAATTACGAAGTGATTATTTTGTCTTTACCCTAAACAACATCTTTAGCTTCGGGATGAGGTGAGCTTATGGAATTGTTTATGAATGAAATAGGACATCAGTGGTTCAGTGGTAGAATGCTCGCTAACCATATAGATCGTCCTGGTTGGATCTCCAGATGTCTCATTACTGAGCCTTTGATAGTGATTGATGCGTGTGGTTGT